ACTAAAAGCTGCAAAAAATAGATTTTCAAACTATTTATTGGCAAATTTAGTCTAATAATTAAAAACATGGATGAAATAAGAAATATGAAACAAATAAAATAAAACACATACAAAGCAGAACACAGCTACAGTAAATGCATCAAAAGCATGTCTATGTAATATTAGAATTTTCTGAGACAATGAATTTTGGTTTTTCATTTTTTTTCCTGTAAGAGGTTTTTATTTAATAGAATTTTTGGACAAAAAATTGCAATATATCGCCTTGCTTATATTATCACAATATATCGGGATATATCGTATCGTGACCCCTCTGTCATATGTATCGTATCGCCAAATTCTTGCCAATACACAGCCCTAGTTGAGACTTGAAATACTTTGACTTTGTCCCTGGTTTTATAACTTTAAATACTTCRATGCTGAACTTTCAGCAACTTCTCTATGTGCCCACATGTGTCTACATTAAGGAAGGAAAGTGTCTCATTTGTAAGGCCACATCCTGCTGTGGAGGATGGAAAGGTATTTTCCTTCATTCTAACAAAACAAAAGGATGTAAGGGTATAAAAAGCACAATGTATTCTCTATAATTTATTTAGGAAAAAATGTACTAACTAACTAACTAACTAACTAACTAACTAACTAACTAACTATTCAAGATAATAATAATTAAAATGCTGTGGATCAGTTGGTCACACTCTGAGCAACATGTGGGTTTTATGATCATCTTGTTTATAGTTTAGGCTTATGTTGGGCCTTAATTAACACAGATGTCTAATTTAAGCCTGTCTAAMCTACAAACTCAGGTTGCCATGGAAAAATAACTCGTCTGTGTTTTGATGAACGAGCTGCCAGGAGGAACAGACCATGTTAGATAACTGGAAGCCTCCCTCAACCAGCGAAACCAGTTTCATAACCATGTAAAAACAGCAGCGGAATGAAACGAAACCTTATCTCTTTAAACATGTTGTCAACCCTCTCTACTTTAAAACTATAACGTGAAAAGGCAGACACGAAGATAAGAACGCAAAGACTTGAAAGTKAATATAAAAATGGGGGTAGAGACACACCCGACCAAATAAACTGAGGCTGTGACTTACCTCTGCCAGCTCCGGCCAACGCGTTGACGACCAGAACAGCTACAAAAACCACAGCGCAGAAAATAATGACGAAAATACGACTCAGGATGTTGCTCTTCATTTTAGCGTCTTGCTCTTAGTGTTTCAGAAAGGGGTTTATTTTTTAAGCTGTTTTCGAGCTGCAGATGGGCGGCTGGACAACAAGGCTGGACTGAAACTAGCGAGCGCAGTTTATGGAGTGATGCGTTCAAGTGAATCATGTAAATGTCCCTTCTATTAGAGCGCGCGGATGTTTGGTCCGTCAATATTTGCAATCAGTCATTGTTTAATGAAGTCTGATTAAAGAATAAATGACAACATCTTATTTTTAAGCTGAAAAATTGTTGTTTTCCACAGTGTTGTTGCGAATATTTCAAATGTAATTAAACAGGTATGATCCACATAGAAGGGGAATTTATGTTAATAAAATCATTAGCCCATAATTACAAAATCCTTTGTAAAATACAGTTTTATTACATGACTAGAGTTCTCTCTTTTTTTTTTTATAAAAACCATTATGTTCACTCAAAAGAAAATCTGAAACGCAGTTGAGATTTCAGAAAGAAGGAGTTCTCTAGGTTTATTTTATTTTATTATTATTCTTTCCCAACTCGGGCATAAATATGATCAAGTATGTCAAGACTGTAAAACTTGGCGTTTTGACTGCTTCTATGTTTGTAAAAACCTTATTGCGTTAGCCTACCATTTACATAAAGAGTGGCCTAATTTCCTGTGCATTTGAATGCAACATGCGAAATTTGTTTTTAAAGGTGCAGTTGATGACATGAAGGGGGCAGCACTAATCTAAAAATTAGTTCCACTAACCGTAAAACACTATCTCAAATATTTAGGTCCCCTAATTCTAAAGCACTAACGCACTGAAAATAAAAAAAGCTAATTCTAAAGCACTAAAATAACCCAGTCAACCCACGAACATTCTTCAACAGAACATATGAGTCACATGCAGCCATGTTGCTCTATCATCAACATTCCACAGCTGTATTTGGGTTCATACATCACCTAGTGGATAAGTGACACATATGAACAAAATGTGTGACAGCTTTCACCGTCAGCTGTTAACATTAACATTGCTCAATAACATTTATAGACCTCAGTTAGTGCTTCTAAATTTAGCCTATAAATTTAGCAAGTGCTAATCCACTAATCAATTTTTGAATTTACAAAAGCCCTAAAGCACTAATCAGGAAATTAGTTCCCCTATTAGTGCTTTAGTAGTGCTTTAGGKRAACTTTGCCCACTACTGATGACATGTAAAATAAATCCAAGTTACAGTTGATGCTTTAATTTATATTTAGCCAGTCCACTTAGTCAGAGATTTAGTCCTCTTTTCTTCTTGTTTTTGCTGCAGTATTCAAATTATTTAAACAGATATAACAAATCACAAATGCAGAATATTTTATAAGGTAACAAAATGCATGTTATAATGTACAATAAAGGAACAACAAATAYGGCAAGGGGAAACTAGGACACCAGGTCTGTGGGGATACAGCAACATCCCTACCATTAGAAGGTACCAAGCCCCATTGAGCAAGGTAAAGAAACAAAACAAAAAAAAGGTAAAAAAAAAAAAAAAACTAAATCTCAGTCCCACAGAGGATGAGGCTACCAGAACACCAGAATCCAGAGTATACATAGGGTATTCTCTGCCACATGCCATCCAAAGTGTACTCCCAATGGCAGCAGAATAGCATGATAGTAGATTCACTCAAAACTGGGACCAATACTGAAAAAGCAAGAAGAACACAAAATCACACACCGTGCTCAGTGATAATGCAGGATGCAAGATCTAAATACACCAATCTGGGGAACAACAATTAGGATCCATCACTGTGGCAAACAACCRAGACAGGGTCTCAGGTATTAAAGTCTGAACTGCATCAGGATCTGAGGTGATCCACACATTCCAGCTAAAGAAAATGACCACTCTGAATGCTTGTACACCTAGCAGCACAAATGAACCAGCTGAAYCAGCTAATAGAAGGGACCCACACAGAACGGTTGACCCCAGGCCAGACAGTCTTGATCATGAAAGACCCCCAGAAAGGGACCGTTCCATCCAACAACCAACRAATCATCTGCCTCCGTATAACATGGAAGCTCCTATCAGGCGAWACAACTGTAGTGTAMAATTARAAGTCAGTTGCAAAAGTTAGCATTAAGTGAAAAATAGAACAATCTTCACTCCTGTTCCTCAAAGGCCTGTGAGGAACAGGCCAAAACTCCCTCAGAGGGAGTTTAGGCTCCCTGCACAGTATGAACCAGCAGAGTGAGGAAGTTGCTAATATCAACAAATCCTATTGGCTAGAGAAGGCTGAASTGAAGGACAGCACAAAGACACTAATTATGGCAGCATATAAGAGCAATGGAGACTGAGGTCTACCTTACCAGGCATAGCTTCAGGCTGTGTAAAGATTCCCCCGAGACARTCCAGCAAATAATAGCAGGATGTGRGAAGCAAGCAGGCACTTTATTAGGTACACCTTGCTAGAACTGGGTTGGGCCACTTTTGCCTTCAGAACYRCCTTAATTCTTCATGGCATAGATTCAACAAAGTACTGGAAACATTCCTCAGAGATTCTGGTCCACAGTGACATGATAGCATCACGCAGTTGCTCCAGATTTGTCAACTGTACATCCAAGATGAGAATCTCCCATTTCACCACATCCCAAAGGTGCTCTCTTGGATTAAGATCTGGCGACTCATTGTTGTGTTCAAGAAACCAGTCTGAGATGATTCATGCTTAATGACATGGAGCATTATCCTGCTGRAAGTAGCCATCAGAAGATGGTACACTGTGGTCATAAAGGGATAGATATGGTCAGCAACAATACTCAGGTAGGCTGTGGCATTGACACAATGCTCACTTGGTACTAATGGGCCTAAAGTGTGCCAGGAAAATATCCCCCACACCATTGCACTACTACCACCACTCTGAACCGTTGATACAAGGCAGGATGGATCCATGCATTTTTGTTACTGATGCTAAATTCTGACCCTACCATCCGAATGTCGCAGCAGAAAACAAGACTCGTCAGACCAGGCAACGTTTTTCCAGTCTTCTAGTGTCCAGTTTTGGTGAGTCTGCATGAACTGTAGCCTCAGTTTCCTATTCTTAGTAGACAGAGTGGCACCCAGTATGGTCTTCTGCTGCTGTAGCCCTTCCACCTCAAGGTTGGACATGTTGTACATTCTAAGATGCTCTTCTGCATACCTCGGTTGTAACGAGTGGTTATTTGAGTTACTGTTGCTGTTCTATCAGCTCCAACCAGTCTAGCCATTCTCCTCTGACCTCTGGCATTAAAAAGCCCACAGAACTGCTGGACCATTCTCTGTAAACCCTAGAGATGGTTGTGTGTGCAAAKCCCGGTAGATCAACAGTTTGTAAAATACTCAGACCAGCCCGTCTGGCACCTATAACCATGCCACCATGTCCCTTATATCACCTTTCTTCCCCATTCTGATGCTCTATTTGAACTGCAGCAGACCGTCTCGGCCATGTCTACATGCCAAAATGCATTGAGTTGCTGCAATGCTGATTCAACATTTGCACTAATGAGCAATTGGACAGGTGWACCTATYAAAGTGGCTGGTGAGTGTATATGAAACACCAAAACCAAACGTACAGGAACATCTGGAGGTCCCATAGTCAAAGTGGGAGATTTTACTAAGAGTGGGAGTGGCAGGGCTAAGATTCTTTGGGACCTCCAGATCTAGACTGATTAAACAAGTGATGGTTAATTAATCAGACATTGTGCTGGTCAACAAGCAAGAGACAAAGGCAGTGATGATAGTTGTAACATCATGAAGGAGAACATAAAGCTAGAAAAATATCAAGGGCTGAAAGAAAGACTAGAGAAGCTGTGGAGAGTCAAAGCCTCAGTGGTCATTGGGACCCCCCAAACTGGAAGAGTGGCTCCAACAGTGGTTCTCAGGAACARCYTCAGAGATCTTTGTCCAGAAGAGCGCATAGAAGCAGCTAGGATTAACTCATTCTCACTCCCAACTAGTCACATTTTGACGCTTGGTCAGGTATTGTCTTTGTACAGTTTTGGACCCCCCCATGTGGTGCAACCTGGAAAAGCCGCAGGCTTCAATAACTGATGCAAGGGGTATACCCGACGCGTCCAAAACTGGACGCAGATGGTACCTGACCAAGCGTCAATATGTTTATGAGTTGGGAGTGAGAACGTGTTGGCTAGGATATGACCCAGAACCCTGAAGCTCCCAGGCTTCAGGTAGACGACCTGAGGTCAAAGTGCAGTGGAGTTTTTTGGATTTGTTTTAAAAGACACTAAAGAACACTAAAGTCCCAATTGTTTTCCCTTTTACCTTGAACCTTTGAACCCCTATGTAACCTCTTACAAAACCAGGGAAGCATTTCATAAGCACCAACTCTTATGATAAGACTGCAATTTACTAAAATTTAATAATGATTTACAAGACTGTGARGTGTTATTTAACTTTACCTGTTGTGTTCATCATAAATTTCTCTGCAATGGGTAATGAGATTATGTTATATCTGTTCTCCAAAAATTTTATAGAAGCAATGACAGCATGGTGTGGCATTACCAAGAGACACTTTCCATCTTTTTTGAGCTGTGGACACAGAAAAGTACCTGGAAAATCAGCATGGAGGTATTTTCTCCTACAAAACCAGAGAGAAGTATTTTAAGTCTCATAAATACTACACTACCATACTAAATATTAAGTTTGTTTATCTCTGCGCCAAAGTGGAACCCTCACTGAAACAAAATACTCATAGTACTGCTTATTGCTCTTTTCCACTAAAAGCACAATTATCTAATTTTTCCTTGAACTTTTGAACCTATGTGACTTCTTATAAAACAATGGGAAGTATTTCATAAGTACAACTCACGTGCTGGAACTACATTTTATTAGCATTTACGAATGATTTACAAGACTGTGGGCTGTGTTATGTAGTGCTACAAAATTTGTTACATCATGTATTTCTCTGCATTAGGTAATGTGATTTGTCATATTTGTTAAATTAATTTTGAATGCTCCAAACCTTTATAAAAGTAAAAACAGATGAAAAAGATGACTTAGTTTTGCAGAAAACTTGCTTTTATTAGGTCTTTGTTCTTTAAAGATTGAACTAGTTCTTTTTCTTATCACCAACGTAGTAAAAAGGACAGATAAAAGCACAATGTATAACTAGGGTTTAAGTTGATAATCACATGTAAACAATTGCACCTTTACAAATTTCACACGTTGCATTCAACGCTCATAATAAATTCAAGATAAGTGGATTTATTGTCATTTCAAACTTATACAGTGTGCACACAGTAAAATAAAAACAAGGTGCTAATTTTGAAATACTAGCAACGTGCATGTGTGCAAGCATGTGCAACGTTACATAAAGTGCACTTGTGCAAACATGTGCATCATAAAACAGGTGCAAAACAGGACAATAATTATGTTGTGGAGAGGCAGTGATGAGAGCTGCTCTCAGTTTAACTGAAAGTGAAGCTATTATTAAATGTTGAAACAGACTGTTTAAGCAGCAAATAAAATTTTATATAAGTGTCCATTGTATGTAAATTAATACAGGATAGGAAAAAATAAAAATGCAGTGTTCCAGGGTTTGTGTGATTTTGGGAGATTGTGTGGGTATGTGAGCAGTTTTGACTCACTGTCTAACAGCTTAGTTACACTACTTCAAATGTAAACAGTCATACAAGAAATATTTTCAAACATGGAAACCATTAATCAAGTCAAGTTCCACAGGCTTGAAATACTGAGGAATATTTACGCCTGAGCTGAACATCTGGTTTGTAAAAATAAAGTATGATTTTTTTTTCTAAAATCCAAGCTGTGGTTCCTTTTCCTCCCTTGTTCATGTAATGTCTTATAAAACAAGAAACGTTTTTTGGAAATATTGACTCATATAATGAAACTGTAAACAGGGATGTACATGATCAACAGCATCATAATTTTTCTGCATTATAGGTTAAATCTAATGAATTATTTTGAACTCTTAAAAATATTGTCTGTCTTCTGGACAGCACAGAAAATCAAACAAACATATTTTTTACTTTGAAAGCAAAATGTTTGCTTTTATCTCTCAATCATGTCTAGTTTCATAATCCTGTTTTATTGCAGAGGTTAAAGGTTTTACAACCGTTCCCTCTTAAGGGGGCGTTTAAGTGATTCACGTGAAGGTACCTCTTTATAAACAGCGCTCGTGCCCATACCTGTCCCATCAGCAGAGAAGCCGCAAAGATGAAGGACAACAGCTTGAGCCGAATTTTGATCATTATCTTAAGCGTTGTGGTTTTTCTAGTTGTTGTGGTCCTAAATGCGTTGGCAGGATCAGCTATAAGTAAGTTTTTACAGTCTTTCTGCATTTGCTTTACAGTAACTTTTCTGTGTCTTCCCRTCATATCAAGTTTGACAAAATATTCAATGTTTCACTGGTTTTAAACTRGTTTTTACTGTAGGGATGCTTCCAGTTATCTAACATGGTCTGTTCCTCGTGGCAGCTCAGGTCCCTAAAACTCATAGGAGTTTTCACKACAACCTGAGTTTGAGTTCAATTARAGCTGTGKTATTTCAGATGACCTAACGTAAACCTACACTGTATACCTTCTGTTGCTCAAAAATGAAGATAAATGTGTGCTTTGCAAACAAATAAACAAAGTGATAGAAAAATATATAAATTTTAGTGTAAAGATAGTTTTCTTCTCACATTTGAGTTAATTGTAACTTCAGTCACACAAACAGATGTTTTTGAGACTTTTGAAACATTAGTGAGTTCAAATGTTAGCTGTATCTGAGAAATAGTCAAAGATAACACAGTCTGAACTCATATCCTATTTATTCTGATGCAGGTCTCTGACAGCAGCAGCTCARTCATTATGTTCAGCTAACAGAAAACATCAGGGCGCTGCTGTGAGGCAACTGTGGCATTCATGTTAACCCAAATTAGTGTCTTAGTAGACCATGAATTTCAATCTCAGGGTGTCTCYAACGCTGAACGTCTCTCATGTCCAGGTCCCTTCCTCAGCAGTGCAGCTAATGTGTCGGCCCGCTATGAGACAGACATCACTCCAGCTGGTTGGACCTTCTCCATCTGGAGTGTTATCTATATTTGGCTGAGTCTGATGCTTATTTACATCACTTCATTTGTTTTCAGAGGGTAAGCTAACATCAAGGCAATCTTACTCCATATTTACTAGGGCAATATGCAGAATAAAAATGTTTATTATTATTATTATTTTATTTTATTTTATTTTATTTGTTGTTTAGATCCTGGGCTCAGTCTCTGCTACCCTATGGCTTCTACCTGTCCTGGCTGTGCAGCATGCTGCTGAACATAACATGGATTTTCCTGTGGGATAGGGAGTATGTGTCCCAGTTTTATTCATTGCTTCAGTGATGCTCAGTAAAAATATTCAAACACTTACTGTGATGAACATACTGTAATTTACAGGTTGAACCAGGTTTTCAGTCATTCAGAATAACAGAGAAACAGACGAAAACTCTAAATGTAAAGCAATTTTACATAATTTTTGAAATTAAATGTGAAAGTTGCTTTACATTTACTCAACTCAGTTGAGTGGAACCACTTGAAATAACTTGGTTAATAATCTGTTTTTGAGTGCAGATAGATTTAAAGTCCTGAAAACAGCTGACACTGATTTTGTAAACAGTTACTGTCAAGATCCAAGGAATGCAWATTGGTGAACTGGGGAGGATATCTATCTTTTGTCACATTCATTGACAAGATAAATCAAGAAATGTAAAAAAAAAAAACAAGTTTGTTTTTTCCTACATATCATCAGCTTCCTAAAATAACCTCCTAACTCAAGTTTTCAAGTTTTCAGGAAACACAAAAATAGGTTTTTATAGTTAGGCGATTACTGTATTTTAGGAAGGCAAAGCTCCGAGGCTGTGTGGCTGCAGCTCATTCAAGGTTTTCATCCTGATTTGTGTTCCTGAAATTAACAACAATGAGCATTAATACTTGATTTTTACCAACTAATATCCTGATGTGATATATTTATGGCTCTTTTCTCTCTTTGCAGGTTGATGGTGGGAGCTCTGGTTGTGTTGATCCTGATTGCATTTTCCAACTACAGCGCTTTGTTCTTCTGCTGCTACGCCACAGATTATTATGGACTGTGGCTGCAGACACATCATCGCAAAGACCTGGCCTGTCTCAGAATACTGGTAGGACAGAGGGAGTGTTGATTTTATGAAGTTTATCTGTGTCTCTTGTGAATATTAACATTTTGCCTGTGTGCTCAGGTCCAGAATGGTTTGACTGTTTACACCACGTGGACTTCGGTCGCCTCTCTCATCAATTTTGCCGTAGTTCTGGAATTGTGGGGTGTCGACAGGAGCACAGCAGCAACCGTCTCTTTGTCCCTTGTTCTGGCAGATGTGGTGGGATGGTAAGCTGTCACCGTAGGGGTCAGAACTCTCAAAATTTTAGATAAACTAACATTGCTCCCGTCAATAAATAATTTGACGAAACTATACTTTTAAGTAATGTAAAATTGAAGCATATCCACCATTTAGAGCAGGGGTGGGCAATCCTGGTCCTGGAGGGCCGCAGCCCTGCATGTTTTACTTGTTTCTCTGCTCCAACACACCTGGTTTGAATGAATATATGATTATCAGGCTTCTGCAGTATGGAGGACCAAAAC